TTCATGGGATGGCAGTTGATAGCATGAGTCCTATGTCTACACTGGTCACAGTGTTCATCAAGGAGATGCCTGGCCCCTATGACCACCTAGCCACTTGAGTTTTCATTACATCTTCCTACTAAAGTCTCTTCTGGTTTTTTATTTATTTATTTATTTATTTTGTGGTTTTTGGCCATGGATGGGTTTGAACCCACCACCTCCAGCATATGGGGCCAGCGTCCTGCCTTTGAGCCATAGGCACCACCCCTCTTCTGGTCTTTTAATCTTATCTCTTAAAAGCCTGTGTCCTACTTGTTACACTCCAACATTTTCAGCAGAACAATTAAGGTTTCCACGTCTTGATGCTTCTCCCTGCTTCCCTGTACCCCCTACCTTCACTAATATCCTGGCAGCCAAACCATGCTAGAGAAACTATACCTTCTGTTGGCTCAGAAATTAAGGCAATCAAGGCTGGGCACAGTGGCTCATGCCTGTAATCCTAGCACTCTGGGAAACCGAGGCTGGTGGATTGCCTGGGCTCATGGATTTGAGACCAGCCTGAGCAAGTGTGAGACCCAGTCTCTGAACACCAGGCATTGTGGCGGGCACCTGTATAGTTGCAGCTACTAGGGAGGCTGAGGTAAGAGGGTCACTTAAGCCCAAGAGTTTGAGGTTACTGTGAGCTGTGATGCTACAGCACTCTACTGAGGCTGACATAGTGAGACTTTGTCTCAAAAAAAAAAAAAAAGAAAGAAAGAAAGAAATTAAGGTAATCAGAGGAGAATGCAAAAGGTCCTTAAATCCCATGGCCCTCTGATATCAGCTGTCCCCAACCTGTGAATCTACCTTATTGCTCTATAGGCCAAGACTGAATCATTCACATTACCCAGTAACTGAAGGGTCAATTTGGGGATTGGAGCAGCACTGAAGGAACCCTTTTGCCACCCAGATTCAAAGGTCAGTCTACAAGTGAGGAGGAGTAGCTGGGAGGGGAACTTGACCTCCTCAAGGATTTCCTTCCAGTCCACAGCTTAGGTCTTTTTTCCCCTTAAGGGTGATATTTGAAATATGTTAACAACGCAGTACAGGTCTCACTGGATCTGAGCAGGTCCTAAAGGGCCCTGGGGCAGGCCAGGCATTAACACCTTTAGTTGTGTTAAACAAGATTAGGAGAGGCCTTTGTTTTGAACTGAGCTGGGTAAAAAGCCCTAACACATCAGGACAAAATAATAATAATAGTGATAACAATTTTAAAAAATGGAGTCACTCCTGCTTAATGCCACATAATTAAACCCAAACTTCGAGGAAGTAAAGAACTCCCCAAACAGATCAGTCTTTTCCTGAAAACAACCGATTCACAGTAACCAATCAGAAAGCAGCCTGAGTCACCACAGCAAGGAAATCCCCTCTGCTTTCACTCTCTTTTTGTTGTAGCTGTCGTTGTTGGTTGGCAGGCCTGGGCTGGATTCGAATCCACTAACTCTGGTGTACGTGGCCGGTGAGCTACAGGCGCCGAGCCTCTGCTTTAACTCTCATTAGAAAAGTAACCCGATGTTAGCCAATCCGCTTTTCAGTCTATCATTTATTCTATCATTTCAAAACCACTGTTTGTCATGTGAGAACTCTTTCTATTTTAAAGAATGGAACGATGTCCTGATTCATGAATTGCAAATAAAGTCAATTAGTTTTATAAACTAAATTTTGTAATTTTGTATATTGACGGTCGTGGACCATGCAAATGATTCCAGAGGTCTGGAGTAAGGGGGCGACCCTGAGCTTTCCTACTGTCACTCACAGTTTGGAGTCTTTTCTTCCCTCCGGGAGAGGGGCCTCCAGAGCAGCACCGCAGACACAATTGGAGGGATAAGGGGAAACAGGCCCGGCCTGATCCAGCTCTGGGGCGTGACGGGGCATCTGAGATCCGAGCGTGGAAAGGAGGTGGCCAGCGCCGGAAGATGAAGGGTGCGGTGGACAGGCCCAGACGCCCGCCCGGAGGCCGCCCACCGCCTCCTCGGCGCCGGGAGCAGCAGAGACGTTGGCCTTCCCAGATTGCTAGAGAGGCCGCGGAGGGCCCGAGGAGGCGACGCGCGTGCGCGGCCCGGGTATCCGGGAGGTAGGCGCAAACCCGGCGGCTGCTGGCTCACCCGGAGGGTCGGCCGTGGGTCGGCGGCGGGAGTCGGTGAGACGCCCGGCGGCGCGCGGGGGCGGTGGGCAGGGCTGTGCCGGCGCGGGGCTCGCGGACGACGACCTACGGGACGGGATTCCGTCCGTGCCTCTCTGGGGCACCTCGGGGACCCAGTCACAACTGGATGTCCGCTGTAGGGAATTTGGAGTCTTGCTTTCCTCGGACTCTGCATTTCACCCAATTTTTCATATAAAGCATTTTCATTAGAGACAATTAGATGACACAGGAAAGTGGAAGCAGCCGCAATCCGAAAATTGTAGTCTCCAAGCCTGACAGTTAAACATTTGTTCATAATTATCACACTCACATGTATGTATATACGTATTTTTACTATGAAAGATCATGTTGTTGTGCCCACGGGAGTACAGGGTTATGGACAGAGTACCAGCACACTGAGACGGAATTAGGGTTCAAGTCCTTTATTGCTGGTGATAAAGAGCAGGCTCAGGCCTAAAGGACTCTCGACCTGGGGTTAGGTTTCCTTGGGGTTTTTGTAGTCTGTTTCTAGAGGTGAGGGTTCAGGGGGAGCGAACCGAAATTATACAGAAGCAGTGTTTTGCAAGGTTAACAGAAAGGTTTGCAGGGGAGGAGATGGTTGCGTTTATTTCTGGGGTTTTGGCTAGGGTGACCAGATTTTAACATTGGTAAAGCGAGACATGGGGGGGGGGCAGGACGGGGCAGGGCAGGGCCTGACAACAATGCAACTTTGATAAGCAGTTCTGGATAATCACTTCTCAATAATTATTTGTTATTATTACCATTTAACATAAAATTAACAAAAATAATATAAAACTCATATCCTGGCGAAATAGCCACATGGCAGCCGAAAACTGTATATTCCCTTCCTATTCTCTCACCCTGTGCATTCTTTCCAAAAATCGGGACTTTTTAAAAACGCAGGGGGACGCAGGACAAATTGTTAAAAAGCAGGACGTCTGGTCACCCTAGTTTTGGCTGTTCTTGCCAACCAGGTGTTCTGCAAAACGGGATGCAGTTTGATAGTGCTGGCCAAGTGGAACATGTCAGGGAGGGTGCAAGTTAGGAGCCTGCATAGGCCTATCACAAAATGGAGTCAGTCTGACCTTCTAGGCACTTCATTCCTCACTTATGTGCGGAATCAAAGCGTTGACTCATCTTGTTCCAGGCTGGGGTGATATTGGATTCTAATTACCATGAGTTTTATTCTGTTTTATAAAGCTAATAATCCAATTCAGTACACTCGGTCCTATAAGTAGCCCTAAGAGGAGGATTTTTTTTTTTTTTTTGAGACAGAATCTCAAGCTGTAACCCTGGGTAGAGTGCTCTGGCATCACAGCTCACAGCAACCTCCAAC